CAGGAGACAGGCATTATTTTAATTGACTCGGTAAAGTAAATCAACTCATAGAGAAAACCTCTTTGGACAGTATAATTACAGATACTGGGCTATAACTCATGAGCTTGCATGCTTGGGCTGGCAGGCAAATAACAAGAGAAGTCATTAGCAGAAAGCGAAAGAGGAAGACACGTTATAGGAATTTCTTCACTTTCTAATTCTTCATTTGTAAACTTCTCTTCATGTTCAGTGCCTTAGTCTTCCTAGATATGACTGTCACTGCTTGTGATGAAACATCTGATCATTTAGGTTTTTCTTACAGAGACCTAAATTGAAAATGAACACAAGCAAATGCAGAACCATGCCATTAAATACATCAACTTCTGTCATATTTGTCCACTTGTGCATTTAACTTTCTGGTTTTCCTTTGCAACTGTATAAAGTGAGATGTAGAGCTGCACAGTGCCCTTAGTCTTTTATCTTGGATTTGTATGTGCAGGAACCTGTCAGGGTACATGGAGTGCAGAACCACACAAACAGGTGGATGATCTGGATAGAGCATGTGCTTACTTGGTTTTTGTTCTTCTCATTTTTTAATGGCCATAAATCAAGATCTCCATAAATCAGGGGGTTCACATAAATCAGGGGGTTAGAGCTTTGAAGACTCCTACAGAAATAGCATTCCAATATAAAACAACATTTGATGTAATAAACTTAGAAAACATTCCTGAGAAGTTTGACTTATCTTTGCTCAGATGACTTGCATAATTTAAGCAACCCAATCTAATGGAGCAGATGACCACAGTGACTCTCTGAGAAAGCCCATTTCTGTCCTGAGAAGCAGCCAAAGCAGCCTGTTTGTCTAATGTTCACCCCCAGAGCTCCTTATCTCCAAACATCAGCTGTTCTCCCATCTGCACCTGGTTTTGCATCTGCACAACTGTGTGATCAAGGTGCTCATGTCCTGGTATGGCACAAGTGCCAGGGAATGTGTGTGTGTGTGCACTCTGTGTGTTTGTGTGTGTGTGTGTGTGTGTGTGTCTGTGTGTGTCTGTGTGTGTGTGTGTCTGTGTGTCTGTGTGTGTCTGTGTGTGTGTGTGTCTGTGTGTCTGTGTGTGTCTGTGTGTGTGTGTGTCTGTGTGTCTGTGTGTGTCTGTGTGTGTGTGTGTCTGTGTGTCTGTGTGTGTCTGTGTGTGTGTGTGTCTGTGTGTCTGTGTGTGTCTGTGTGTGTGTGTGTCTGTGTGTCTGTGTGTGTCTGTGTGTGTGTGTGTCTGTGTGTCTGTGTGTGTCTGTGTGTGTGTGTGTCTGTGTGTCTGTGTGTGTCTGTGTGTGTGTGTGTCTGTGTGTCTGTGTGTGTCTGTGTGTGTGTGTGTCTGTGTGTCTGTGTGTGTCTGTGTGTGTGTGTGTCTGTGTGTCTGTGTGTGTCTGTGTGTGTGTGTGTCTGTGTGTCTGTGTGTGTCTGTGTGTGTGTGTGTCTGTGTGTCTGTGTGTGTCTGTGTGTGTGTGTGTCTGTGTGTCTGTGTGTGTCTGTGTGTGTGTGTGTCTGTGTGTCTGTGTGTGTCTGTGTGTGTGTGTGTCTGTGTGTCTGTGTGTGTCTGTGTGTGTGTGTGTCTGTGTGTCTGTGTGTGTCTGTGTGTGTGTGTGTCTGTGTGTCTGTGTGTGTCTGTGTGTCTCTGTGTGTGTGTGTGTGTGTGCACTGTGTGTGTGTGTTTGTATCTGTGTGTGTGTGTGTGTGTGCACTGTGTGTGTGTGTTTGTATCTGTGTGTGTGTGTTTGTATCTGTGTGTGTGTGTCTGTGTGTGTGTCTCTGTGTGTGTGTGCCAGGATCTCAGGTGTGTGCCAGGTGTGTACACACACTCTGTGTGTGCTGCACACCCCTGCTCTGGCAGAGGAGCTGGGGATGAGGCAGTGCCCAGCCCAGCTGTGGTCCCACGGTCTGGGTGAGCTGTGTCCATGTAGGGAGAGGACTGAAGGTTTGTGCCCTGATTCTGACAGACTCGAAACAGGAGGTGTCAGGCTTGGCACAGCTTTCCTGACTCATGGCCTCAGCCATGAACAATAATGTATGTCTCAACCTGCTGGCAGCTGCACTGAGCTCAAGCAGGAGCTTGGTGCCAGCCAACAGGAGTTGTATTTTTTGCCAGTATATGTGACCACGAAACAGGGCAATAAAGGCTTTAAGTTTTTCCATTCCTTTTTATTTATTTCTGTAGTCTGTAGTAAGGGACCATTTCTTTAAAACCCTTAGACATTTGGACATATTTTACAAGACAGTACAGTTTCTGAATGTCACACATTGATCACAGTTTCATACTATTACATGCATATAAAGACACAGATTTTTTTTTTTTAATAGTTTGTTTTACAGAAACAACTGGAGAGGTCAATAAACTTCAACAAAGAATGACTAAATCAAAGTTACAAAAAATGTAAGACTCTAAGTACACTAGAATATGGCTAATGTTGCTGTAATGACCCCAAAGTGCCAGGGCATTGAAACATTTCTTAAAAGGGAAGAAAACATCTGCTGGTGCATTGGACCAAGATAATAGATGAATTGAGTGAATTCCAATATAACCCAATGAGGAGATAGTGCAAGGCATGCAGGATCTGCTGGGCTGTCAGGCACGAGCAGTGGCCTTTCTTACAGATACGCTGAGCTGGCCTCCCCATTGATTCCCCCTTGCACAGGTTCAAAATTAATTCAGTGCAAGGCAATGGAGAAACCAGTCCTGTCTTACCTTTTTGGGTCACAGTCAGTTTCAGTTTCCAGCTATAAAAACAATTTGATCTAAATGTACCAGCAGAGCCACAGAAAACACATTTTCTAGTTTTTATTTGTTGTTACATAACACTTTATTTTTTAAAAGGACCCCCACAGCTTTCCTATCCTTCAGTGAGGATGGGTGCTTACAGCTGCCTTTAGGGAGGTCACTGGAAGCCTTTGCCTGGGCTCAGGGGCTCTGCAGGTCCTGGGCTTTTGGAGAAGGAGCCCGGGCTGGTCCCCGGCACCCCTGGGCACGGAGATATCACTGAGCAGCACTCGCTGCCTCGCTGATGTGCTGATGTTTTCTCCCTGTTCTGAAAATGCTTCACTGGCCTGACAAGAGAGCAGGATTCTGCTGTAGGAAGCAGGGGTGTATTTTTTTAATGCCAATCTTGTTGGAAGGCGAGTTTGGTTGGTAGCTGTGGCTGGCCTTTCTGAATACAGTATCATGGCTTCAAAGTTCAAAGTAAAATGGAGATGCTGCTCCCCCACCCTCCCCCCAAACACACCAGTGGGGAATGGTTCAATGCAAAAGTAATTTTCTGCACTGACCACCAAAAAGCCAGAGAATGGGGAAAAAAATGTTACTCACAAGCCAACAAAACTGATATAAAAAAAATAAATCCCAAGGGTTGCAGGAGCCAATGTGTGGTGAACAGCATGTGGAGGCAGTACAACATAACAGGAAGAAAAGTCATAAATGGCAGAGCTCCTAAATGAAAAACACAGAGAAGAATGGATGAACGGTCTTAAATGTAGATTACCAACAGGACCAGAGGTTGTGCCACAATTCAAAGTAGCCCATGGCCCATCTGCTGGCAGTGTCCTCCAGCTTCAGCAAGTGCCTGGACCGGGGGCAGAGAACGTTGAACTGTGGGGCTGAGGTTGGGATCCTGCTGGAGGGACAGTCACCTGTGAGGTTGGGATGCCGCCTGTGGCATCAAGTCCACAAAGAGTGAGCTGCCGTGGAGGGATGCTCAGTCATGCCTGGAATGACTGTCACCCTCTTGCCTGAAGGATTTGCCCCTTTCCCAGGCTTGCCCCACCTCTGTTTCCCATTCCCTCACTCCACTGGTTTCCAAGGAGGTGCCGTGGGCAGACACCTCCAGCCCTGAGGCCATACAAAGCTATGAATTTTCCATTAGCTTTTAGAGATATGGGTCCAAATTCTTTACTGATCTAAAGGGGGCACAGTTCCATTGGCCTCAATGGGCTTTAACTTACAGCAGCAAAGAATTTGGCATTTCGTATAAATTTGGCTCCCTGGCTTTCATGAGGCTCTAGTTTTGAGGGGTCTTTGTATGGGGTTCAGTTTTATTATTAATTTGTGAAGGTAGTGTCACTGGAGTCTTGGAAAGCCCCCTTTAAAAATAAAGGTTAATCCTTGTTCAGTCCTACAGGGCATCAACAGTATTATTTCTAGTTAAAAGGAAGCAGGAAGGTTTTACTTTCTCTTCTGAGCCTCTAAGACTGAAAAGCAAAATTTGGAGTACTATTTACAGATATGAACACTTGTGGCACCCAGCCGTTGGTGTCAAAGGACACTTCTTGTGGCTTAGGTAACACCAGCAACGACCGGGAGGGACATCCTGGATGCAGACTATCAGTTTTCCTAAGGTTTCCTTTGCCTGGCCAAGGCAAAGTTTCAGTGCAAGAGCCTAAATGTGATCAGCATGAGGTGTGAGATGCATGCTGGAAAATAAACATCTCTTCTTCAAGGGGCTGGGTGGTATTTGGGACATTCCTGTCCTGGTGTGGGAATGCAAAGTTAAGAGTGGTCTGACTAGAAGTTTTCTATGGTTTTGTTGACTGTGCTGTAACAAACTTGCTGACATGGAAGGTGCTTTCTGAAGGCACCTGATGATAGATATGGCAGCCTATTGCATCAATTGCTTCCTAAGAAAGAAAAATCCCACCCAACTTTAATACCTTCCTCCGTGAACAGGTCTTGCTGATAATCACATGCAAAACTGAGTCTACTGGTTATTCCTTTCATTCAAGGGATACCTGGACTTTCTGAAACACACACCTTTCCAAATTACATCTGTTTCAGGTTTATTGGCTATTATGGTGGACATGTAAGAAAATCTCACAAAAGAACAAAAAAAAGTGGAACCAAAAGTCCATCTTTGGCAAAAGCATGGTCACTGACCAAACTGCTGGGTCAAATCAGAAGGAAATGTCTGTCCAGAGCTAGAATGGCTCTGAAGCTCTTCATCTGCTGAACTTCAACAGGCCATGATTTAGCTTCAGGATGACCATTTATCTCATGGACATTTTATCAAATTTCTGTGAATTTGATACAGGTACCTGGACAGATTTTACCATAACTAAATCAAAATCTGGTCCCTTTCTGAATGTTTACATTTCTCATTCTTCCACAGTTTTTTCTCACTTCCTGATTTTCTCTGGGACCAAAAATAAAAATTCCAAAACCCAGTGGGAAATGAATGTCTGGAGACTTCTGTTTTAATCCAGGAAAACTTCACTGAAGGTGCCTGAGCATTGTCAGGTCGTTGCCTTGAATAACAGCCTAGATTTTTGATGCTTATCCCAGCTCCATCATGTCACTATCAGAACAATTAGATTCAAAGCCTGTCTCTTCTTTCTGTTTTCAGCATAACCGATGTAAATCTGGAGAAACTGCAGCCAGGGGTGTTGGGTGACCTTTCCCCTGCTGTCACCAAGGGCAGAGTCTGGTCTGCTCCACGTTTCTCAGCAGGAACATCTCAGTTCCCACAGCCAGTCCCTGGTTAAAGTACCACAAACAGGAAAATACAAAAACATGACAACATCAGACAAACCCCTTTCACAGATGCACGTCCAGGAGGAATGTTGCAGGTGTTTATCAGAAAAAAAGAAAATAACAACAACAAAAAGGTTGGGGGATCAGCTGTGTAAATGAACACTGAGAGAGCATCTAATATATTATTCTGTAATACAAAAAGAAGAAATCTGACTTGATTGCCCTATTATAAATTTGCTAAAAATACAGATATATATTTATATTTTTATATATATATATATATAATTTTTTTAAATCTGAACAGAAAAATAGACTACTCTGGAATGCATGAAAGTCACATGACTTTTCCATACATCAGATACTTATAAAGCCAACACAATGGCAAGCAGGAGGTACAGAGGTAACTAGAACATCTGTACTTTATTCAAGAACTATTTAAAGCCATATTCTCCCCAAGTGGATGATCCAAATGAACCCAGGGTAGCACTTGTTGTGTGCAGAAGTGACTGACCAAACACGGAGGAGCTGCTGGGGCAGGTTTGGAGCCCCAGGGAAGCCCATCTTGCTGGGGCCATGCTGGAAGGCATCGGCACCTCACGGCCTCCTTTGCTCGACTGCTTCACTCAGGAATTGCAGGGTTTGCTTTAGAATGAGTGTTCTGTGGAGCTTACCAACAGAGAGAACGTGGCTTTAGAAACCTTATCTTTGTGATGAGTTTTACATAACCTTGTTATTTACTATAAACTGTACCGGTCATAATTCCGTCAAGACATAAATATACAGTAGGTACAAATATTAACAATACATTACAATTTTACAGAAGAGAATACTATTTTCCTTAGAAATGTGTATCTTATTAGCTGCAAGGGAAGAAAAGGCTACAGTTTATCACAGCCATAGTTGCCAAACAACCTGACCACCTCAGATGTGTTTCTCATGACTTGCCCAGGCAGATATTCCCCGGCATTTGACACACGGCATGTTCAGGAAGGGAATGTGCATTCCATGGATTTCTTTTCCTCTCGCTTGCTTTTTTTTTTTTTTCTCCTTTTCTCTACCTTTTTTTTGACTCTCAAACCTTTCAGAAAAATGTGGATTCATAGAAGACTCTTGTTTTGGGTTGGGTTTTTTTCTGTAAGTGTGCTTAGGTGAAGTTTTTAAGGAAAGGCACTGAGAAATCTACTGCAAAGTCACTGTTTTTTTCCTCTGTTCAAGGCTAAAACTCAAAGAATCTTTAGCCTTCTGGTTAAGAAAAGTGCACCCTCTCCTTTCACACACACACACACACACACACACATATATATATATATATATATGTTCTATATATATATTTATAGGTATGTGTTAAAAGTGATGTTGATGGCGTAAGATACAAGCAAGTGCAGACATCACACATCCAGAGAGAGTCCTTTCAGGTATGATGTCTTCTGCAGCAGCAGGTGAGGCTCTGTCAGCTTGCTTGCTACTTGGTGCACAGTAAATTTGCAGACCTGAATGCTAAATATCAGTGATTAAACCATATGCTTTAGCTTGATGCAAGAGATGTTGCCTATTTTCCCCAACCACTATGAACTTTGGGAAACATGTATCAAATAAACAAAAATTAAATTGTCTTTCTAGGATCTATAGGATTTGTTGAGCATTATGTTTTCGAAGCACTGCCTTCCCTTTGCAATGACTACAGATTTAGTCTACCATAGCTTTAGGTTAGAGTAGATTTCCCAGTGCTTACATTATATATATGTGTATTATGCACACACACACATATATAGATACATTGTAGTCAGACTTTATTTCATTAAAACAAATTAAACATACTTCCTTTTTAACTGGGCATAGAATGAGAGTTACATCTTTGTACACAAATATGAAAGAAATGCTCTTCAAGCATATTATATGCTCAATTTTAAATTATTTGCTTTCTATAAGAAATCTATAGGACTTTGGCTATTCAGACTTAAAAGGAAGATTTTTTAATGGTACTTTTGAATTTGGCTTTCAAAAGTGACTCCGTAAAATGCTACTTTAAAGGTAGGACTAAATAGATGACATAAGGTGTGTGTCATGAGTGATCACGCAAGGCAGACAGAGGGCCTTTGGTTACAAGGAGAGTTGCACCAGTTGACTGTCAGATAAAAAATTATAGGACTGTTGATTTATACATTTTTGTCAGTGCCATCTATAAACCAAATACATCAATTTGGATGAGCGTGCGGTAAATACTACACTATATGGCTATATTTAAATATGTTCACTTCTGCGATATGTAAAATATGACTTTTTTTTTCCACATGAAAGCATCAGCTCTAAAAATATTTAACTTGGAAATCACTGTTACTTCATAAAAAAAAAAAATCCCTGATTTTTCTTCATTTTACGTTTGTGCTGATGGCAGACATGACTGATCACTGAAACACAGAGATTATATTAGAACTGTTCTCTTTAAGATTTCTTGTTGCTGCTCTGTGGCCTCAGAAAGCCACAGCATAAATCAGTATTTAAAGCTTATCTACTGGAAAGTTACTTTTTACTTTTCGTGACGACTCAGTCTTAACCAGTATCTCAGCAATACGTCGGTTCCTCTAAGTACACTTGTATTTACTATGGCCGAATCCTACAGTCCTTCACCAGGCAAAGCCCGCCCGAGGAACGGCGCTCTCGGCTGCGGGAGGGCGGAGAAGGAGCGAGCGACCCTGGGGGCCGGCCCTGCGTGAGTACCCGGGGAGCTCCCGCAGCCGCGGTGCCGGCCCGGGGCTCTCCCTGCCCGGGGCTCTCCCTGCCCGGGGCTCTCCCTGCCCGGGGCTCTCCCTGCCCGGAGCTCTCCCTGCCCGGAGCTCTCCCTGCCCGGGGCTCTCCCGGCCCGGAGCTCTCCCTGCCCGGCCCGGAGCTCTCCCTGCCCGGCCCGGGGCTCTCCCTGCCCGGGGCTCTCCCTGTCCGGAGCTCTCCCGGCCCGGCCCGGCCCGGAGCTCTCCCTGTCCGGCCCGGAGCTCTCCCTGTCCGGCCCGGAGCTCTCCCTGTCCGGCCCGGAGCTCTCCCTGTCCGGCCCGGAGCTCTCCCTGTCCGGCCCGGAGCTCTCCCTGTCCGGCCCGGAGCTCTCCCTGTCCGGCCCGGAGCTCTCCCTGTCCGGCCCGGAGCTCTCCCTGTCCGGCCCGGAGCTCTCCCTGTCCGGCCCGGAGCTCTCCCTGCCCGGCCCGGAGCTCTCCCTGTCCGGCCCGGAGCTCTCCCTGTCCGGCCCGGAGTTCTCCCTGTCCGGCCCGGAGCTCTCCCTGCCCGGCCCGGAGCTCTCCCTGCCCGGCCCGGAGCTCTCCCTGTCCGGCCCGGAGCTCTCTCCCTGCCCTCGGCCCAGCCCCAGCAGTGGCTCAGCTCCTCCCCGGCCTCGCCCTGCTGGGCCACCAGGGCGGCTCCGAGCGGGCCCTTGGGCCGTGTCCAGCGCCCGGGACGGGCCAGCCGAGCAGAGCAGAGTCACTGCAGCGTGGGCACAGCTCCGTGCCGAGGAGACACCTGGCAAAGCCATCCTCACAACCTACACTAGCTCCTAGAACAGAAATGTGCTTATTGCTTTTGTCCGTACATGCTGCATTCACTATTACGGGTTACAGACAGTGCTGCACGGCCGGGACGGACACACGGCTACATTCAGGACTAACCAACACTGGCTTTTTACAGTAGGAAGGAACAAAATGCAGTGGACTCGAGCGGCTTCCACGGGCTCTTCCTCCCACGTGTGCCCCCTGCTCCCACGTCCCGTGTCTCAGCTCGTCCCGGAGCCGCTGCCTGCAGATTGCTACACACCCCGGCAGGACCTCAGGGACAGCTCAGGAAACGCTCAGTGACAGAGTTATTTACAGCTCAGTTTTACAGTAGAAACAGAGAACAACATAAAAGGTTACCATCACAGTTATCACAGGACAAGGTGTGACTTGCTACAGGCGTGTAACAAATCACAGTCACAACAAGAGGCACAAATTACAGTAGTGCTTGGTTAAAGTGCTTGATTGTTACACTCAGCTATCCTACTCCAGCATTGCAACAACGACAACAAAAAGTCAACGTAAAGTGCTTTCCCCCCCGCCCAGATTAAAAACCAAAGACAAATTATTTCCTACACAATTTGACATAACTTTATTGAGACAATAGTATTTTAAAAACCTAGGCTGGTGGCTGCTAGTTCTGTTCACTTAAAATGGTCAGATAGTTTTTTTTTTTTTTCCTTTCCTCTTTATTTTCTTTCATTTAAAAATGACTGGATGTTATTAAAACGTCAGACCTGATTCTCCTGCCTCTCGCAGCTGCTTCGTGCCACGGCCCTGCAGGAGCTTCTCCCGCCCGACCTCCTGGCGAGAGGGAGCACAGCCAGGCCTGCGGCGGGTCACTAACGAATCCCTCTTTTTGCATATTTATGTAACACTTGCATATCTTTCACTGCGCTGCTTGGGCGCAAAAAGCTTCGCACCAACCTGCTCCTGTGCTCCTGTGCGGAGCCGGGGCCGCACGGGCAGGGCGAGAGCCGCGCTCTCCTCCAGCCCCGGGCTGGGCTCTGCCGCGGTGCCCCGGAGCGTCCTGCTCCTGCATGGCTCCTCCGACCTTCCCCACGGGCCACGCGCTGGCCCTGGGCACGTACCGGCTCTTAGCAGAGGGTAAGCGCAAGTCTCACTATGTCTTGGGGCATGTTTGGAATTAGATACAAATGGTGCAACTCACCCTGCTGATATTTCAAATGAAAACATCAGGTCCTACAGGATATCGGACTGTTAAACACACAAAGAGCATTTTAATAATTGGTTTCTCTAGACCATTATTTGTTTCAAATGTTTTTCACTTGGATTTTCCAATAATGCAAGTGTTCCCTGTTACCTTTAAACATTATATCCATCAGAGAAAGCTGTAGATGGGGAACAGCTGCCCTGAAGCAGTGAGCATTGTGTTTTTGAAAGCTTTATACCAACCCCAGCAATTTATTCCAGAGTTCAAATCTGGCTGCCTTGGCATCCTTTATGGAACTAATGCAAATCAGATGTTAATATTTCCAAAAGGAGCTCTAGCGTTCAAGGGGAATGGATGGATATTTGGTCACATTGGCTTCACTGGACAACATGAAAGGAGATCAATGTGTGATCATGATTTGCAATCATTTTTTTGACTGATGTGGGCAATGTCTTTAGAGTTGTTTCAGAGAAGGACATTTTCACAAACCCACACTGGACCTCCCCCAGACTTTTAGAAACAGGTGGCTTGTTTCAGCCAAGTTCATGCCATGCAGAAGCTCTTTTGTTTGTGTTGACTGTGAAGATATTCCTTTAAACTCTCAGTAAGTTCTTTCAGACCCCACCTCAGATGCTTTGATCATGTGTGTTAGCATGTCCTCCGCTGCCTGGTAACACATGGACTTCTGGAGAAATATGATTTTCTAGTCTGACAGTCTCCTGATTGCCGTGGGTTCTTCCAGTGATACCTTCCATAGAGTAAATGCAGTTCTGCCCTATCAGCTTAGGGGAGGTGGGTAAAGCAGCAGCTTCCAGATGGTTCTTCTCTGTTCTATAAACATGGTCCTTTTGCTTTAGATAGCCACTGTTTGCCACACTGTACTTGGGACTCCCATTTCCAGGCGGACTTGAATCATACATCAGCTGACCTTCATCATCAGTGTCAGCATCTATGTATTTGTGTATACCAGCATCATGGAAGTTGAAAGCTAGGGCTGCCTGGGACTCCGGTGACTTTGGGGGCGTTCTTGCACTTGCAGTTGTGTAGATCGAGGTTTCTGGGCTCATGAGAGACCTGTCAGAGAGTAAGGAAGTATCTGTGGCAGCAGCAGTAGCTCCCCGGCTCTTGAGAGGGTCTGGGTATGTTCTCAGTACATTTGATGATGGTACTAACGTGCTGGTGTCCTCTTCCATGAAGTTAACTTTCAGAGATCTTAGCTTTAAAGGGTTACTGGCCTTTATGGAGCTTTTGGGACTGTCAATGAAAAAAGCAGAATGGTGGCTGCTTTCAGAGCTAGGGTTCATTTCCACATACCTGGCACTGCTCCCCTCTGGCCTGCCCTGCTCCTGGATGATGTTGATGCCCCCCTTGCAGGGCAGGGCGGTGAGCGGGCTGTGCGAGAAGCGCCCGGTGTCGGGGAACTCGGCCGCACAGCTGATGAAGCTGTCGATGCTGGACATGCTCCTCATGTCAATGATCCCGTCAGTGCGAGTCGCCAGCAGCGGCACCATGGGGCCAGGAAGGGTTTCCATTTCTAGCTCTTCCTTCTGCTTTCCAGCTTGACTCGACTCTTTAGTGTTAAGGTTTGGCTGGGACTGAGTCTTTGCCATTTTGTTGTACATGTCCTCAAGCTGCTGGACATTTAGGTGTTGGGGACTTGAAGATGACCTGGCTTTTTCTGGGGATCCTTGTTCCTTAGTTTCAAAAGATTTACTAGAACTAGTTTCAGAGAGTGTTCTCTTGGTCCATTTCCATTTGCTTGGAGATAAATGATTGTCCTGAACTTTATCCTTTTTGGCTATGCTTTCTCCATTCTTTTCAACCACAATGTCCATGAGCTCTATGCTACGGGCAAAGGCATCCTTCATGTTCATGGAAACAATACTGCCATTTCTTTTTGCTCTTTCAAGAGCTTCCCTGCGCTTGATGGCTTTCTCCTGCCTCTTCTGCTCTTTGTAAAACTCTGAAAAATTATTGACAATAATTGGGATGGGAAGAGCTATCACCAGCACACCAGCAATGCAGCACAGTCCTCCTACTATTTTGCCCAAAAGAGTTTTAGGGTAAATGTCTCCATAGCCTACTGTTGTCATGGTGATTGTTGCCCACCAGAAAGAAGCAGGGATGCTCTTGAATTTTGTATCATCCTCATCCTTTTCTGCAAAAAACACTAAACTGGAGAAGATCATAATGCCCATAGCCAGAAACAAGATGAGTAATCCAAGTTCATTGTAACTCCTCCTCAGTGTAAACCCCAAGGATTGTAAACCAGTTGAGTGCCGGGCAAGTTTTAGAATCCGGAGTATCCTCATAATCCGAAAAATTTGGACCACCCTTCGTACATTTTGGAACTGAAGTACACTTTTATTGGATTCTGTGAGGAAGATAGTAACATAGTAGGGTAAGATAGCCAGCAAATCTATAGCATTGAGCGGGCCTTTGAAAAACTTCCATTTCTTAGGGGAGGAGAGGAAGCGCAGGAGATATTCCATTGTGAACCACGCGATGCACACCGCTTCCACGTGGGCGAGCTGGGGGTTATCTGTGGTCTGCCCAAATTCATCCACACCTTGGAGCTCAGGAAGTGTATTAAGGGACAAGGCAATTGTAGATAGTACAATAAACATGATGGAAATGATTGCCAAAATCTGGAAAGGAGAAAGAAAACAGTGAGTTAATCTCAGAATACACAACGCTGTCTCTCGCTGCTGTTAATGCATGGCTGTATTTTCACTCACATGTTGCAAGACACGTTTTGCTCAGTACACAGAAGACAGATAACCAAGTTTATTTTGGAAGCTGTTTCAGTTATGGCAGATGCATGAAGGAGATAAAGCATCTACTTCGACTTCTGTGCTTTCATCTCCATGTAGTCAAGGAACATGTAAGGAACAGCTAGGATGCCAGGAGGGCTGTGAAGCAGATCACAGCAGGAACTTTTGATTAACTACCAATTAGGTGCCCAACAAGGCCCATCTGGACAACAAGCTCTGAAATTTAAGCAAGAAGGAGTGCAATTGTGAGTACATGATTCAATCAGAGCAATGTCCACCATTTAATGAATGGTTACTGCTGTAATTTGGGGTGCTGATGGCTAATTATAGAGCTGAGTGTACAATTCTACTACATAAGCATACAAATAATACACACTTGTTTAATGACTCATCACTAATTTGATTCTTGGTGGTTGTGAAAAACATGAAAACTTCACGAAGCTTTCTAAGCCATTTTGAGTTTTCTGGAGGAGAGAGCAAGCATCTGAGCAAACCAAATTGGACAACACTAAGACAGCCAAGCAGGGGAAGTCCAGTCACTGGAGGCTTCACATGTCTCAAACTTAAGAGAATAAAATGTAAGTCAAGTGTCTCATGGTGAAGTGTGGGGAAATCTAGGTGTTAATTACTTCTGCATGGTGGCTTGTTTCAAAAGACCATCTCCTGGAGACAATGTGCTCCCCCTGAGAAGCAGAGAGCCTGATTTGCTTTCCTAGAAGGCTCTTTTGGTGGTTTTGCTGTCATTTCTTCGTTTACAACCCATCATTTCTGAAGGTGTTTGGGATGTTTGCAATGGTAATTTCAATTAGTTTTGCTTGGCTTATCTCTGCCCACTATACACAGAAGGGCTTAGATGTATGTACCTGTTGGGTTTTATCTCTTTCACTTTCAGTGTAAATATTAACGCTCCATCTTTATTCAGTGAATGGCATCCAGCAGCAGTAATTGGTGTCAAACCTTCCGTTTCCTTTGATATGCCCTCCTGCTTTGAAGATCAAGGCAATGCCGGATGAGTATAAATAAATAAACTGAGAGATATAAGGGTAAAATTTGATTTTGGT